GCTGAAAGAGAAAGGGGGGGGGGGGGTTCTGTATGTCAACCTGAGGTAAGCAGCCCTCCCCCTCTGTGTTCCAACACCTGGAGAACAGATCAGCCCCACACTGACTTCACAGCGCGCAGTGGAAAAATGATGCGCAAAACAGTCTGAGGGTGTACACTATAAATAAACTCGACCCACACAAAATGTGAAGTATTTGATTAAATCTTCTACAGCATGCTCCACTTGGGGAACAGACTGCTGCAAAAAGTTCAGACTTAAAAGCGGAGTCGTGAACAAGGCTCTCTTTGCTTGTTATTGAGAAAGACGCCGTGATCCAGGAGATGTTTGAAGGCAGGGCAAACACTATAGCTGCATAATGGATCACCTACAGTGTACAGGATGCAAACAAAAGTGCACAGTAAGATGAAAACAAAGTCGAACTAAAAATGCAATCATGTCAGAACAAAGACCTCTACTTCAGGAAACAGACATGACGGCAAAAGTCCCTGTGTAGCCTGTCATTATTTCCACCAAAACAAATTACACATTCAAGAAAACCAGCGGAACAGCGCTTCGTGACAGCATGGCCACATGTTATTTGGACAATTTAGCAAATAATTGGCCAGATAATTTCATGAATCACTGTTCCTAATCCTAACTGTATTTTTAAGCATAAGCCTTTCAACTATCCAGAGCTTCACTGGCTTTGCTGGATTTTTATCCTTTAAAAACAAACGACAACATCAAACTTAACTTTGGGTTGATCGTCCTTCGCCTCACCAAACCAGTGGAGACCCACGTTTAATTTAAATACAATTAAGCTTTTATCCTGCATCAAAGTAACCCCATATAGCCTCAACCCCCCACTAGTTAATCCCCTGCACGAAGTCCTGATCTTTCAGCCTCTTGCGTTATGAGCGATTCTTTACTGTAGGCTACATCCCGCGCGCATTGGCCGCCGAGGCTGAAGTGCTCTTTTAGTAGCTGCTTCCCTCACTAAGCTCATCAATCCCCCACCACCACCACGACCACCACGACCACGAACCGTTCTCCAGAGATGGAAGTGAAAAAACGTCTCAGTTAAAAGCCACTTCGCTAGTTATGAAATGCACAGTACGTGGCCCGAAGAGAAGCCCTAAAGAATGATTAAGATGATTCCGTTTGGAAAACAAGCAGCACGCTTTGCAGCACTTACTCCAGATGAACAGCAACTTTCTAAGAAGTGGTTCATCGCAGCCGTTCGTCATGGTGCAGAGGGACGAGGACGTAAAAACGTGGATTGGACTAAATGCAAATCGAAAGGTTTGAAATTTGTAAAGATACACCAGGCTTTTCAAGCAATAAAAACTTTCTTCCTGGCGACCGGAGCTGCAGTGGGGTGGGGGTGGGGGGGGCCTACCTGGCGCTACATGGATTCTCCTTACGCGCAGGATAATCCCCTGCAATGCAAACACGAGTCACACAGCAAGGCTGCGTGTACGAGTGAAAAAATAACATACTCTAGCACAAAGTCATGTCGGAGAACACCTGCAAATGGTGTGTGCGTGACAAAAAAGAAGGGGGGAGGGGGGGACGGGGGGAGGCACGATGCCAGAGTGTTTCCGTCACCTAGACAGGATGGTGAGCGGTGCAGTCCCGTCTCTTCCCCCACACTACCTTCCGGACTGCCTAGATGACTGATCAACGTCCGCTGTTCAAACAAAGCCCCCATAGCTGCGCGCAAACACACACACACGCACGCACGCACGCACGCACTCAGCTGTCACACCAACACAAACACCGAGGAGATGCCGTCCAACTGAAGTGAACCGTGCATAAACGGGGCAGCTCTTGCTTCCCTTTGGCAGGGCGAGGCCGGATTCCGTAACCTTGTTTAGCGCAGAAGCTCCGTGTGCGCGCACGCACACGCGTACACACACACACACACACACACTCCCACAGGCGCTCTCGCACTTCGTCACACAAGAGTGCGAAAAGCCTGAATATTCACCATCAAGGACGGCACCGCTTTCAAGCCCGCTAACCTCTGGGACGTCCTTCTCACTCCCCACCGGCTGACGGGACAGTTGCATAAAGGCCAAGCTCACGGTCGGATCATTATGTGTGTGCGCGTGTTATCAGCCACATGCCACTGCCCCGCCGAAACGCACAAAGACCACCCTATGTGCTATTCTTAGAAGTGGCCGATCTTCTCCGAGTCTCTGCGCACAGCGCCGGGCACTCAGATTAAACCCCACAAGAAGACCATCTTGATTTAAAACCACACCATGTGAGAACAGCAGATCATTTAAAAGCATCTCAGGGGGTACGGGACGGTTCTCATGAACAGTATTTACACATTGCCAAAAAGAAAATTTATTCTGATCGTCTCTGATTGACTCACCTGGTTAATTGGTGTCAGTTGCAGCCGTCGTCCGTGCGCCCCAACTCACGCCTTTTCCCCGTTTTGCCAAGTTCCCTGGGAGGGCAGCGATCCGTCCGTGCGAAGAGCTGCCCGGTCACGGTAGCCTACAGTCTGGAGACGGACAATCCCGACCAGAAGGGGAAACAAGAAAAACCAACTAAAAGTGTCTAACAGGTTATCCACGTGTCAGGAAACAAAACAAATCGCGCATACAATGCTCTCGTTCCTTAATTCTATTGTCTACGGGAAACTCTCATCCAATACCCTGTATTTATAGCGGACTTTTTGGCTGCTATAAATGTCATTTCGATGTCCATAAAGCAACAAAAAGAGCCTATACGGAGGAAAAGCAAACGCCAGAACAGAGAGAAATCCACAAAGGAAAATCCGGTAAGGTCCTTTATGTCTGAGAACCAATGCGCTGTTCGGCCCGGACCCCTAAAGGATACAGGTGGCGAGGTCGGCGGACTCGCGGAAAAATTAATTCAGATCGGCTGTACCTCGCAGCAGCGCCATGTTGGGTTTCAGCGGAGCACGCCGTCCTCGGAAAAAAGCCTCTTTCTCCCGCTCTCCGTCACTCCATGTCCTCTCCGACTCCGGAGTCCGTGTCTCGGAAGGTTTGCTTGAAGGTTATTCCGCGTAACCTTTCGTCCTGCGTTCGCTTCTAGAATCGTACTTAACACCGTGGTCGGAGCCCCCGGTTCGCACCGAGGACACACAGAGCTGTACGGGGAGTGCCGCACAGAATGGATGAACGCCGCCGAGACCGAGCGACTCGCTCCACTCCCACTCGCGCAGACTCTACCCAGAAGGCCAGTCGAGAGACCGCAATTACCATAAGCCTCCAGCGCAGGCACTGGCTGCGCGCGCACACGCACACACCGAGACACACACTGAGGGAAACACACACACACACACACACACACAAGCTCCGCTGAAACTCCAAAAACAGGAATAGGCGAGTTTTAAGCAGCAGAAATCAGACAGAAGATAAGCTTACAACAATAATAAAAACAGGGGAACAAATTATAAGTTTTTTCGAGGTAAATAGTAAAATAAATAAATAAATAAAACTAAAATTTGCTAAAGGAAAAGTGCCCAAACGAATCCGATTTTTAAAATGTAAATGATATTAAGAGCGAGGGGGCCACCGGTCTATATGGAATATACATTATTAGACTATATCAGAATCAGCTTTGTGGGACAAGTGTATTTGTGCTTATAAGTAATCTGACTCTCGTTTTTAGCTCTTATTGTACAAATGCTAATGAATAACGAACCAACAACACACACAGGTAAACTGGGTGTGGACAAGAACATGCTGTAACCTATGTTCATCCTAATAATACTGTTATACCTAATAGTGCAGTTTAGTCCCCTCACTTCAAACATTTGTTATGGTTCACACTTTGTCTACCATTTAAGCTATGGGTGTAGATCCAAATTAAATGTCAGTTCAGTTTTGTTCCAAGCTAACAAATAAGGTAAATCAGTGGGGCTGTAGAGAGACATGGAGAGAGGGAGAATTAGCTCAAGGCTGGGGCACATCTGTTAAGGCTCCCATGTCAAGTGAAGTAGGAGGAGGCTAAGAATATCAAGCCTGAGGTGTGTGCATCATGGAGGAAAGAAAGATGGAAGAAGAGAAAGGCCCACAGACAGACAGCAGGAGAGTAGGAGTAGGAAAAGAGAGGGGGACTTGGAAATGGAAGGCCTGGCTGTATTTGCCACAGCTGTTGAAAGCAGGAGTTAAACCAGACGGTCATACACAAACAAACACAAAGCTCACAAAGCACTCACATATGGATGCACTAAAAAGCAAAGCTCATTTTGAAGGGCAAATTGTCCACAAGTTTGGAGTCAGAGGCACAAAGGAAGCGAGCGGAGAGAAGAGGGAGAGGGTCTGTGAGATGAGAAAAAAGGGAAGCGGGGTGGGCGTATTCATGCATGGCATAGAACAAAACATCCACTCTTCCTCTCTGGATGAAACTCCAAGGAAAATACACCATGCATCTGAATTTCTGTGACAAGCAATTTAGAAAGCCTTCCTTCAGTCTTAAGTAAATCCAGGGTGAAGTGCTGGGCATGTTTGCTCTAAACAGCCCCACCTTCAACCTACAGCCATTAAACCACAAGACTGCTGAGGCTGTGTCCACACTTAACTGGCTCTATCTGAAAACAGTGTTTACATGTGAATACAGTATCATCCTCAGCAGAATTTTCAGGTTGTTTCTACTGTATTCATAAAAACAGGGAAACGGGTTCATGTCTTCCTTTTCCTCCTCCTCTTTTGGTCGGCAAATTATAAAAGTGTGCATCTCAGCCAACATCTGGTAAGAAGTGAGGAAGTGGGACAGACAGAGCCGGGCTCTACTGTGTTGTTGTAGGTTGAACCTCCCTCCTGTCCCCCTCCTGTGCTCCTCCTCCCATGTGCGATCAGCCACACTGACATTTACAGCGAGTGATCACAGAAATGAAGAGGTGGCTTTTTAACTTTACAACCACAGAGGCCCCAAAGCTCAGTGTTCTCTTTCCACACTAAAACATGGCGCAGCTTTTTCAGATGTATCATCTCTGAAGACCATTTTCAAAAAAAGAAAGCGTTAACAAGAATTCATTTCTGCATTAACACAGCGATGGCATCACCATGTACCAGTGAGACAATAAAAAGTCCAATCCAGCAAATTAGCATAACAGATTACTTGCATGTGTCTGACTGGGCAACACAGCACTTTGACACATGACGTGTTGCTACACAAGTTACATTCAACTCCTGCAGCACCCATTCATATTGATATTGATAGGCCAGGATTGCTTCATGCAGGCCTACTGTTGATATGAAAACAGCCATAACATGGTGAGAGGCCAAGACCGAAGGAAGAGGATGCATGTTAGTAGGTAGGATGATAGCTAACTTAGAACTCGTGCCGTTCAATGGGCATTTTATTTTTGGGATGGTGATGATGTCATGAATGTGTATGGACAATTTCAACATGAAACTCCTCCCCAAAAGAAGTATGCTATGGTGAGAAAGGTTAAACTGGCCTGAAACAGAAACAGATGCTGCCACACACAATTTCAGATCCACTTACTGAGGTGTGGTATTAGTTATTTCCTCTCCATGCAAATTAATATAACGGTAACCCAGCACGAGTGATAAAAATTTAGGGCAGCATCAAGTGGTTCAGGATACAGAAGGTATTGAGAAGGGTTTGGTTTAACTGGCTTCATGTCTAACAAACTAAACAAGCTGAGACGCCAAACTATGCAACCACAAGATGAGAAGGAAACATCAGGCATGAACACAGAGAGAGCAACTTTTAATCTTTTTATGTGGTCACACAGTAGCAGCTGGAAGAACTGTAGCCATGTGACCAGCATACCTGTGCTGTCTGCAGCCAAAACAGCACTTTGGGTCTGCTAACATGTCTTTTTTTGTCTAAAGAAGTATGCCAGCATGTCTTTACCCAGGGCCTGTACCACCAGCTTTAGCCTTGGCATCTCCAGTGCTGTTCTCTACACTTTCAGCCACATTGCACCATATGTCCCACTCACTTCTGCTTGCCAGATTTTTGCAGGTACAACCTGGCAACACAGCGACCCATTATACCAGAGCACTTGCTGCTTGTCCTTAGTGTAAAAACTGGGCTATAAAGAGATTTGGGGTACCTCCATAGACCTTTCAGCTGAGCACTTGGTTCCAAATCTGATTCATGTCTCCAAACAGTCTGAGAAGCTGCTTTGCTGTTGGCCACAGTTTAATATAAACTACCAGGTCAGCAGTGACATGGATTTTGTTCTGACCTGAACATCAGGAGTTAGGTCAGGTTTGCAGCTTCTCTGAAAGTCACTCCTTACTTTCAGTGCAGGTCACAGTGTATTCTAACTTTGGGTGGAATATATTTAGGTACAATTATAAATAAAATCTCTATTTTCTGGTACATGTTGTCAAGAGAGGTCTGACATTTAATGTATCTTCCAGAGCAGGAAGATAATTTGTAAATGCTGAAAATGTTCCTTAGTTCTTGAGCAGTTAAAAACAGACGTGCTGACGTAACACAGAGCTAATACCCACGTTGAAAGGTCAAATGGGTGTCGGAAAAACACACACACCAAGAGAGAGAGAGCAAAAACAGCACACAACACCAGGTCTTTCCTAGCTCTCTCCTTTCTGCTCTGACTCAGAGGGCGTAGAAGGCAAATGGCTCTCTCCATCATTCACTGGAAAACTGGATTAGGATGAATATTGCTCTGAGGAACCGCAGGGCAAACTAGGTTTCTGACGCTCAACACAAAAACACACGCTTGTACACCTTTGTTGGGAAATGGAGAGACACAAAACTGGTGAGCAAGTGCAGACCTTTTTTTATGGCCGCACTTTTATGACTGTGTATGAACTTTGTGGTTTGAAAAGTCAGCCCGAGAACAGCATGTGCCTCTGAAAACTGTTCATGCTGGTAATGGTGATGAAAACTGTGATTCCATTCTCTGTCACTCTTTGTCAGGGATTCATGCAAATGTGTGTGTCTTGTGTCGGTTTTTGGTTCTTGTTACCATTGCTAACTCTAAGAGACGAGACAGTCCAAGTAACTTCAAAACAGTGCTGATTTATTCAAAGGATCACAGGTAAAAATTAACATTACACGCTCAGGTATCTTGCACCTCCAACCTGCACGCAGGCAGATGTAAGATGAAAGCCCCTGAACCCACCAGGCCTATACATTATATCCCCTCGGTTGGGCTAGCCCCATACTACACAGAAACATCAACCGAGACGTCTCTGTTGCCAGCTTTGCAGCTGGTCATAGCAGTAGTCAAAACATGAAGCAAATCAATGTGGGTGTGTGTGTGTGTGTCTGTTGATTAAGTGGTGTGTAACTAAAAACATTCTCACGACCTCTAGTAACATGTCGTGGCTTAAACATAAGAACATATTATGGCTAAGGCTACAGTTATACACGTCATAATAATAATAATAAACATCCTGTTTGCTGACAGTCATCAACTCTTCTCTCTAGTTATCCTTGACCAGATGTACCCTGTAGAAACTCATAAGCAGGCCTAAGCATTTAACAGTCTAACTAGACATCCTATCTCCACTAAACATTTCTAATACATAAAGTATCTAACCAATATCTAAACGACTAAAAATACCTAACACTTGTAAAAACCAGAGTAGCACCAACACGTGCACACACGCGGGTAGTGCAACCCCGGTGTAGAAAGAACCGCACTCTGGGAGGTCACAGTGATCCAGCCATCTGCTGTTGCAATCAGACACTGAAGCGGTGGCTCCACAAGCAAACTCACCTTCGTCACACGCTGTAAGAGCACATGCTTAGCCAGAATATTCACATGATATCCTCAAAACAGAAAGACGCACACATATGAAACCACACGCACACAGCTCTGACACATTTTGAAAGGGCTGACGGCCAACACACAGGCGACTACGGACGTTGCACACACACACACACACACACACACATCCTCTCTCTCTCTCTCTCTCTCTTTCAGTCCACAGGCTCAGATTGCAGGAAGCTCTTTGCACGCAGCTCAGTCGACAGCACCCGGTACTAATCAGCACAATCCACCTGCAGATCGTTATGGATCGCTTACTGCAACGCACACAGTCACAAACACACAGAGAAACTCGCCTGAGCACTCACTAACTAGTACAGGCTCGGACATGAGCACGCGTACAAATCATCTATACCTGAAAACACACTCATGCCTAATTATGACTATTTATGTTCACCTTGGAAAAGCCTTATAATATGTTATTCATTGTGTATTTATGAGTAAGTGGTGACTTTATGGTGCGTATAAATCCATAATTCATCTCATGAACTGCAAAGGCTCATGTCAGGACTTGAATTTGCTCTAATACAGGGTACTGAAATATCAGCTTTTTCCCTTCTGTCACACAAACAACACACGCAATCGCGCGCGCGCGTGCCAGTTCGTGCTCCCACACCGATGTTGTAGGGCTAACCGGTTCCCCACAGGCGCGCCACACTG